CTCAGCCTCTTACTAGGGATGTTACATCGCTTTATGACAACTGTGAGGCAACAAATATCACTTAGTACATAAAGATTTTATGATAAAGATATAAAATTATTTGTGTATTTCTTAACACATGGGGCTTAGGAGGTTAGGACCCTATAAGTACTAATTCAATTCTGCACTGTTTTTTCAACCAAGTATTTTTTATGAGGCGAAGAAGATCGGCAAGACCTGGAGCGAGATCAAGCGAGAAGCTCAAGACCGAACGAGATGGAGGACTGTTGTGGACGCCCTCTGCCCCATCTAGGGGACATAGGACCATAAGTCAGTAAGTCAAGTATTTTTTATGCAGCAAAAAGCAGGCATTTGCAATCACAACTGATGTTTAGTGATGCATGTAATGTAATGGTCTATTTCTTCGAATTCATACACTACTTATTACAACTCATTCAGAAAAAAACTAATCCTAACTAATCCTAAATACAATTTCCACCAAAAAACTCGCTACCTTTTTTATGCAAGTGTCCACACTAGTCGTACTTCTAAATAAATATTCAGTTAATATTTCAATGACTTCTATCTCTATCAATATTTTTTATCACGCATAATATTCGCAAGTCGCACCCCTGCGTGTTCATTACCCCAAGGAATATCGAGGCATATCATAGCAAGGGAGGTAAACAGGGTGATTCTTCGCAGCCGAACTACAGAATTGGAGGTTGTTTGCCAAATGTTTGCCAAATACGTGTAATTGGTCGCAGGGGCAGTCAACAACATGCGTCGTTTTGCGCGGCCGGCTGCGTACGGATAGGATTAGCTGTTATAATTAATCAGTCTTGTTAGTAGTGTGTTATTGGGCGTTCTAACTCACATTCGTTCGGTCGCAGTTTGCGACCTCACTCTGTGCGTTAGATCGCCCAATAACACGATCGTAAGTAAACCATGCACGATGAATATGAACCTTTTTCGAACTACATCTTTTAACCATCGACGTGAGTATATTGTCCTCAGTTCTTTGAAACCCACCGATCACAACAGTCAAGTTAAAAAATTCTGTTATGAAATTTCTGAAACAAAAAGAATCACTTAAATTGGAATGCGTCTGTCCTGAAGCATCGAACGAGCTTAAGCGTCACGGGAAATTATTGCCAAATACTATACGTAGTATCGTGTGCGGTCCATCGAACTGTGGGAAGACCAATTTAGTTATCAGTTTATTGTTACATAAGGATGGACCACGTTTTCGTAACCTGTATGTGTATTCTAAGTCTTTATACCAACCCAAGTACGTATTTTTAGAAAAAGTATTGGACAAGGTTGCAGGCACATCTTATAACAAGTATAATCATAATAGTGAAATTTTAAGTCCCCACGAAGCATTGCCTGAGTCGATTATCATATTTGACGATGTTGCTTGTGAAAATCAAAACAATATACGCGATTATTTCGCCATGGGTCGGCATAAAAACATTGATTGTTTTTATATGAATCAAACTTATACTAAAATACCTAAGCAACTGGTAAGAGATAATGCAAATCTTATCATATTGTTTAAGCAAGATGATATAAATCTAAGACACGTTTACGACGAACATGTTGGGTCTGACATGTCATGGTCACAGTTTCGTGAAATGTGCTCAACTGTATGGAGTAAACCTTACAGTTATGTGGTTATCAATAAAGATTGTGAACGAAACAAAGGCTGTTATCGAATGAAGTTTGATACATTCATAGTAATGGACTAAACTTTTTATAAGTATAGATGTTAAGTTATCAAACATTCAGTTTAATTGGAGAAGTCAAACAGAGCAGGAATCTTAATAATGGAACGAAACTTAAAGGAACAAATAGTAAAATCTGCTGCAGCTGTAAAAAGAAAAGTAGAAATGATAAAAGATGTAAAAAATTCAAATGATATGGCTTTGGACACGATATTTAAACCTATCATTGACCCGCTGAAACTACTAACAAACCAAACTGATGAAAAACGTCTTATAAATGAAGGATCGGAGCAAAACTCAGAAGCTAAAAGAACTAAATACAGTGAAAGTGAAGCATCAAATACTTCTGCTGAAGATTATGAAGAAAGCGACGATGATGAAGAGGATTTAGATAATATAGATGTTTGCAAAACATCTAATAAAACCCTTACTACATCGCCCTCGGTGGATTATGATGTACATGAAAACTCATTTAAATCTCTTCAATCGTCACCGAGTACCAATAACGATTCTTTATCGTGGTCGGTGTCATCTGAAGTGATGAGTGATGTACCTTATGGTATTAGAAATGTAAAGGGAAAGCTGATGCTCGGTAATACGCGTGTTCATGATGATGACCGCATTTTGAAAATTGGAAACCGTAGCCTAAAAAAGACTCCAGGCTTAAAAGAATTGTTGTACAAAAAAATCCCAGATTTAAAAATTATTACGAATGAGGACTTACAAAATTATAAATTAGTACTTATAGATACCAATGCACACAAACGAAACTGTGATCCATCAAAGCCAATAAACAGTAACAAGGGATTTAAATATATGAACGTGATCAAACCTTTGTTTAAGTTCTCTAGAAGTCACACAAGTAGTGTAGAAAGTCTCTCACGAGGTGAAGGTGTCGATATTTTGAAAGAAGTTAAGAAGGATACTGATTTGGTTTATTGGGATGATCCAAATGAATTAGTGGAAAGGTTAAAATTACTATTTGGATCATGGGCAGCTGGTAACACTGGAGTACAAAATGAAATTTATTCAATAATAGAGGAATTGCATGAAGCTGGTATCATAAAAGATATAAAATATATAAAGCTTCCAACAGGAGGGTTTGGCAGTACCATTACACTACAGAAGCCGAGCAGACGGCAATGAATATAGATAAATTTGGTCATCACGTTCATAAGCGTTTACGACTGTCTGAGTTTACTAATATTCTTACAGATGACACATTAGTAAGATCAGATACAGGCGACTTTGATTTAAAATCATCGAGATTAAAAGGACTACCAACTCCTAAAAACGATGACGAGGCTGTAAATAAAGAGTATGTGGATAAATGTGTTCAAGATTTAAAAAATGAATTGAAAACCATTCAAAGTAATATTAAGAAGTATCTTAATAATTTGGAAAAATTAACAACTAATAATTTATCTACATTTTATTACACGAAAGAAGAAATCGATCGGATGATTGCAGCAAAATCTATCAAGAATGAGTAAACAAGATATAGTCAACGAGCTACACAAAGCAGCGAGAAGAAATTTCATCCGTCGACATACGATTATTAAAGGGATAGATGATTTATGGCAAGCTGACCTTATGGATTTTCAAAAATATTCATCATTTAATAAAGGATATAAATATGTTCTAGTTGTTATTGACGCTTTTTCAAAATACGTATGGGTTAGACCGTTGAAATCTAAATCCAAACAAAGTGTTACGAATGCAATGAGAAGTATATTTACCGAATCAACACGAAAGCCTAGAAATTTGCAAACAGATCTGGGTACAGAGTTTTATAACGATTGTTTTAAACAGTTAACAAAAAGTTATAACATAAATCACTATTCCACATACTCTATTAAGAAGGCTGCAATTGTGGAACGAGTAATAAGGACGATAAAATCACATCTCTACAAAATATTTAGTTTATGCGGTCGTTATCAATGGTTTAAAAATAATTTAGATGCAGTTGTACTGCAGTACAATAACACTTTGCATCGGGTTACAAAATTCAAACCAATAAATGTTAATGATTCCAATGAGATTGTTGTTAGATCTAATATTATTAAAAGCCATAAGCCACAAACGCGTAAACGATCATCTTTTCAAGTTGGCGACTTTGTTCGTATTAGTAAATTCAAAGGAGATTTTTATAAAGGTTATACACCTAATTGGTCTACCGAAATTTTTCGTATCATAAAAATCAAACAAACAAATCCACAAACGTATCAAATTGAAGATAAACACAATCAAATTATTCTTGGTTCTTTTTACGGATATGAATTACAAAAAACGACACTGCCTGATCTTTATCTTATCGAAAAAGTTATAAAAAGGAAAGGAAACAAACTTTTTGTTAAATGGTTAGGCTTAAGTGATAAGGAAAACAGTTGGGTTGACAAAAGTGAATGTGTATATAAATAAAACATAAATTCCTCTATAACTCACTTTGTGATAATCGATGAAGGGAGGCAGTGGTATAATTAATACATTGATAGATCATTTACCGTTTGAGTTACACTTACCTGGATATCAATTTTGTGGTCCAGGAACTAAACTTCAGAAACGATTACTTCAAGGCGACCGTGGGATTAACAAATTGGACGAGGCTTGTATGCACCACGATATTGCTTATTTGAATAAAGATTCTGGTGCTCGACAAAAGGCTGACTTAGAATTGTTAAATATGGCTAAGAAAAGGTTAAAATCAAAAGATGTTGGAAGAGGAGAAAAAATTGCTTCATGGATAGTTAAAAATGCGATGAAAGCCAAAATCAGAGCCGGTCGAGGTATAACGTCATTTAAGAAAGGGATAAAGAAAATAAAAACAGAATTAAAAAAAATTAAATCTAAAGATAATCACTCTGCTATAAAATATGCTTATGCAGCTGCAAAAAAACTTTTCGCTAACAAAAAAGGAATACGATTACCTCGATGTATTCCTCTTCCAAAATGTGGTGGACTTTTACCACTTATTCCTATTTTTGCGGGGTTATCGGCTTTAGGTTCTCTTGCTGGAGGAGCAGCTGGTATAGCAAAAGCTGTTAATGATTCTAAAGCCGCACAAAAGAGTCTAATGGAATCAGAAAGGCATAACAGAATGATGGAAGCAGTAGCCCTTGGAAAAGGACTGTATATAAAGCCTCATAAAAAAGGAGCCGGTTTATATCTCAATCCCTCAAAAAACTGATTAAGCGGCTACCTAGACGTGCGCTCACTAACTTGGATATATTAGAACATGCTAGTGATATTCCATTCTTTCGTGGTGTATTCATGAGAGATACATTACCTGCGAAACCTAAGAAGATAGAATGTGCAATCATGAATTTGGATAGTAATAAAAATCCTGGTACACATTGGGTAGCCTTTGTAAAGCAAAATGATTATGTTGAATATTATGACAGTTTTGGTAATTTAAAACCACCATTAGAATTAGTCAAATATTTTAGTAACTTATCTATAAACTATAATTATGTACGACATCAAGCCTTTGGTACAATAAACTGTGGTCATTTGTGTCTGAAATTTTTAAGAAATTATTGGAAAAAACATTTATATAATGAAAATTATAAATAAACGTGTCAGTATAATAATGTCTTTCACTGTGTCTATAACCGGAACAGGAGCCTCCTTAACAACAAATTATTCACCGACTTTAGAGCTTCGAGAGGACTACGAATGCGGTCTTTTATATTTTTCAACCTTCAATTCAATTCCCAACATAGATGAAAGAAACAACAAGTTTTACTATGGTGAAAATGAGATCATCGAAATTCCTGAAGGGTCTTACGAGCTTCAGGATATTTGTGATTACTTAAAAAATAACATCAAGAACACTACATTAAAACTTACTTGCAATAATAACACATTGAAAACAAATATTTTTTGTTCTAAAGACGTTCATTTTCATAAAAGTAGCTCAATTGGTAAAATTTTAGGTTTTGGAATGCAAACAATAAATGCAAATATAAGTACTGAATCAAAGTATCCTGTGAGCATTCTATCAACAACCATTGTGAGGATCGAATGCGATGTAGTCAGTGGTTCATTTGTGAACGGGAAAGCAAGCCATATAATTTATGAATTCGTGCCTAATGTACCACCTGGTTATCGAATAATTGAAATACCTAAAAATTTAATTTACTTTCCTGTCAATCAAAGTTCTATAAGCGCTATCAATATCAGGCTGTTGGATGCTGAAAACAAAGAGATAAACTTACGAGGTGAAGAAGTACAACTTTATTTACATTTCAGAAAAAAATGATTAACTTCAATAAAAATCCTTCTACATTGCGCACTCCACTCAGTTCTAAAAGAACATTCCACAAAGACAGACCGCTTCAGCTTAAAAAGAAGCTAACAAAGACCAATAAAGAATTTCTCAAATTAATTGGTTTAATAAAATGAATATTTTAAACATATCTCAACAAACATCATACGATAACAGCATTGAAAGTTTCGAGTATCATTCATACAAACCATACGTGACAAGTTTCAACAAGAATGATGAAATACGAATACCTATCAACCAACAAGACTTGTACGTGTTACCTTCACTTAGTAGTCTATATATCGAAGGTAAAGTAGTTGTGTATAACAGCACCACCAAAGAAAAAGTATCAAATGTGCACTTCGTTAATAATCCAGGCTTATTCCTCTTCCAAGACATAAGATATGAACTTAATGGAGTCGAAATTGATAAAATTAAAAATGCTGGTATTACTACAACAATGAAATCTTACCTATCCTTAAATGAAAATGAATCCAAATGTGGTCGAGTTTGGGGGTGGTCAACCGCAGGAACAAACAATACCAGTGGTGGAGCATTTTCTGCATCTATACCATTAAATAGAATACTGGGATTTGCAGAGGATTATGAAAAAATTATCATTAACTGTAAACACGAGTTAGTGTTACTGAGAAGTAATACTAACCTTAATGCAGTCAAGTTAAATGCAGGTGAAGTAGTAGATGACATAATAATCAATAAAATTATTTGGCGCGTTCCACACATCAAAGTTTCAGACCGTGAGAGGATTAACCTATTGAAACACTTGGAGAAAGATCGAGCTATTCCATTAGCGTTCCGTAATTGGGATCTGTATGAATATCCATTACTACCTAAAACACGTAAGCATACTTGGTCTATAAAAACTTCTTCGCAAATAGAGAAACCACGATTTGTTGTCATTGCCTTACAAACCAACCGTAAACATAATGTTGCATTGTCAATGGCAGAGTTTGATCATTGTCATGTGCGTGATGTAAGAGTGTTTTTAAATTCATCATATTATCCGTATGAAGGACTAAATGTTAGTTTTTCAGAAGATAGGTTTTCTTTATTATACGATCAGTATGCAAGATTTCAACAGTCGTATTACGGACGTCGGTCAGAGCCGTTGTTAAGTTTGAAAGAATTCAGAGACATAGCTCCTTTAATTGTTATCGACTGTTCGAGACAACACGAAACTTTNGAAAGATCGAGCTATTCCATTAGTGTTTCGTAATTGGGATCTGTATGAATATCCATTACTACCTAAAACACGTAAGCACACTTGGTCTATAAAAACTTCATCGCAAATAGAAAAACCACGATTTGTTGTAATTGCCTTACAAACCAATCGCAAACATAATGCTGTGTTGTCAATGGCGGAGTTTGATCATTGTCATGTGCGAGATGTAAGAGTCTTTTTAAATTCAACATATTATCCGTATGAAGGACTAAATGTCAGTTTTTCAGAGGAAAAAATTGCTTTATTATACGAACAGTATTCAAGATTTCAGCAGTCGTATCACGGACGCCGGTCAGAGCCGTTGTTGAGCTTGAAAGAATTCAGAGACGTAGCTCCCTTATTTGTTATCGACTGTTCAAGACAACACGAAACTTTAAAAGGTTCGATCGACGTAAGAGTTGAAATTGAAACAGACCAAGAGATACCAGATCAGACAGCTGCTTATTGCTTGATTCTAAACGATTGTATATTTGAATACAAACCTCTGAGTAATATCGTCAAGAAAATATCATGAATAGCAATAATATAATCGTAGATCTGCAAGGATTTAAAAATAGCAAAAATGAATTTATAATAAAAGAATTTGCTATAGCTACTCAAGAGCATACTCACATATTTTTGATTAAGCCTCCATACCCGNATTGCTTGATTCTAAACGATTGTATATTTGAATACAAACCTCTGAGTAATATCGTCAAGAAAATATCATGAATAGCAATAATATAATCGTAGATCTGCAAGGATTTAAAAATAGCAGAAATGAATTTATCATAAAAGAATTTGCTATAGCTACTCAAGAGCATACTCACATATTTTTGATTAAGCCTCCATACCCGTTCTCTTCATTAACTGCTGAAGAGAAAAAGCAAGTTTGCTGGATCGAGAAAAACAGAGGCTATCGGTGGAATGAAGGATATATTGACTATAGAGAATTTCAAAGACTTATCGTACCTTATTTAAAAGGTAAATATATTTTAGTAAAAGGAGAAGAAAAGATCAAATGGGTGCATAATTTATGTAATCAAAATGACGTCCTAGACGTAACTTGTTTCGGCGCTCCAAATTTAAGTACTCTTTACAATCTTTATTGTTTGGATAACCCCACATTATTTAACTGTTTTGCTCACAAGAAATATTGTGCATTAAAAAATGTTATGTGTATAAAGAAATGGTGTGTTGAAAAAAATGTAGCAATATGATAAATAAATTTATTATTCTAAAAAACTGATTATTTTTATTTTAACAATCCTTGATAAAGATTTAAATTATTACATATGTAAGGGAAAAAAAATAACACTTTCATATTCATAAACTTTATTATAAACTTTTAACATTANATAATAAATAAACTGTATTATTATTCTAAAAAAACTAATTGTTTTTATTTTATTAATCCTTGATAAAAAAGAGTTAAATTATTAGTTACCTATGTAAGGGAATAAAAAAATAACACTTTCATTTATACATAAACTTTATTTAAACTTTTAACTTCGCACTAAACATTTTTCATAATTACACTTAATTATAAACTAAACTAAATACTAAAGATTATCATTACACAAATTTTTAGAGATTTTTTTAATAACTGATTCAGTCATGTCCATTATTTCATCATAATTTTCAGTCACTACATACTGTGCACTAAGCATCACATTATCGTCACTTTCACTGTGCTCATCCGGATCCCATGCCGTTGAACAGGAAGGCTCACTCGTCAGGTCGCACACTTTTATTTGTATAAGTCGTAAGCCTCTAGTTCGCTCCTTAGAAATGACGTAGGACTTAGCTGAACTACGTGCCTTCTTTCGTGTCGGTTGCTCAGTCTTCCGTCTAACCCTCTTTTCCCGGGAGGTTTGAGGCTCGCCAACCTGCCCCGAGACATCTGGACAAGCTTGTGTTAATCCCTCCCAGGGATCATAGGTGAACGGGGGAAGCATGATGTTCATATCGGAGTTTTGCATCATCTGAAAAGTAAAAATAATAATTGTTAGTGATCATCATAAATTTACAAAAATAGCTGATGGTACAGTCATAAAATTAAAAACTTGAATACTTACAAAATAATTAACCCGTCGGTAGTCTGAAGACGAGCAGTGATATGGAGTGAATGAGCTTCTCGGTGAAATATTGTAAAAAACATGTGATATGCTTTATTGCGAAATCGTTGACTTTGCAAACGCGAACGGATGTTTTGTGTCAGCATATTGCAAATTGCATATTGTAATATAAAATTAGGTTATTAAGTTTATTAGAAAGATTATTGCACAAATATTTATCAAATAATATTATTCTAAACAGGATTATAAAGAAAACCATAAAAAACATGTAATACCTTTATTTAAATATCACATTTATAAAATGGAATTTTAAAATCTAAATGAAATTAATATTATACCTTCTATAAAATATAATAAATTTTAACAAACTAATTAATTAAATCTAAAATAAATTCCTATGATGACCCCATGCCCAGGTGGTAATTTTATCGGATGAAATAAAACGTTTATCATCTTGGTTTGATAAAGCTACCTTGTTTACACTCTGCGTGAAAATCTCATGTTTAATGCATCTAAACAAAATATTTTTTTTTTCTAATTATTTTATCATCTAACAAAACCGATTTATAATCAGATGACAACAAATCTCTGATTACATTTTTCTTAACACCTTTTGCCTTTTTGATTAATGTAGATTCTGTTTTAATCCCAACTAATATTATAAATGCGAAAGTAACTCTGTCTGTCTGTCTGTCTGTCTGTCTGTCTGTCTGTCTGTTTGTCTGTTACGCTTTCCCGCTTAAACCTCGCAACCGATTTTGATGAAATTTGGCATAGAGATAGTTTGAGTCCCGGGAAAGAACATAGGATAGTTTTTATCCCGGTTTTTGAAACAGGGACGCGCGCGATAAAGTTTTTCTGTGACAGACAAAATTCCACGCGGGCGAAGCCGCGGGCGGAAAGCTAGTACAATATAATACATAGTCTTGTAAATTCAACTTTGCACGTACGAAGCTGAATACGACCACACGTTCGAATCTTGCGTAAGTCAACCAAAGGATTGTTTGACAGCCCCAATAAAGATGATTTAACACCAACCAATTACGAAGACCCACAAATTCGGTCATAATTTTACCTCCTAACTCGTCTTTAAACAGACCTGGTATTTTCTTATTTTTTAGTGGTAATCCAAATACATTGTCAGAACTATAATTGCTTGTATCAAAATAGTTTATAAAATTTTTCTTTAAGTCTCTATAAAAATCTTCAGTTTCAATTCTGTAAACAAAGCTATCGGTATCAGTGTAGCATAGCTGTACTTTATCTCCGTAGTGAGGCTTTACAACTGAGTAATGGAAATCATACATATGACTCTTAGAGAGTTCCAAAACAGCAAAACCAATATAAATCGGTTTATCTAAAATAATCCTTTCCTGTTTCATTTGTACCGCGACTAAATTATTTGAATAAATAGTAGCACTATGAAAATTAGGCCTTGCGATTAATCTGTCTGCAGTTATGAACTTTTTAGTTTTGTTAGATTTATCACACCACTTATTAACCAAACGTACATCTACTCTTTTTTCGCTGTCTTCTAGGGTTTTTCCAAATACTGAATTATTCATTAATTTGAAAAGGTCTTGCTGAAAAGATGTTACAGCTTTCTTTCTTAGATCTGTGTTTAAATTAATATATTTAGCTAAAAATGGGCTTTGTCTAAAACATAAAACGCGATGAATTTTATCTAACACTAGACCATTTTTAATACATGTCTTTAAATATACATAGTGAATTACGTACTGATATTTAGGATACAAGTTAGGAATTAGTTTTGAAGTCTTACCACCAGGCGGTGTGAACTTTTCTGGACAAAAAGGGTAATCATTGTGACTATGATGTAACTCTTCAGGATAAATTAAATCGACTTCAAGAATGTATCCAAATTCAGCGTTATCGTCTACGTCTATAATATTCAAGAGATCTATTTCGGATTGATCTAAAAGACGGAAATCCGAAACAGGTAAATATTGGCACATGCTATAACCATATAAATTATTGCAATCAATGTAAACCAGAAAAGAATCGGGTTCGCTAGGATCATAATGAGGTATGTATTTATTATTTGCCTGAGCATATCTTGTTGAACACAAACAGATCCCTCCTCTTATCCCTTTCTGTATAAAACGAATGATTTCCAAGTCTGTTAATAAATCTAACTGAACGCCTGTTTTAAGTAACATAGCATCAAATGAAAGACTTGGGGCTGTTAAGTAAAAGGCAGGGTCTAATTNTATATAGGTCCTACTACGGTACGATTATTTTTTAAAGCGTATACATTTACACTTATTTCAGGATTATTATTTTCAAACTTTGCGATATCGCTGAACGTTACTGGGAATGACATGCCATCAATGTTTAGAACCTGTTCAAAGTTTGGATATGAGGATGTACGATCACCGTTCTTTTTCACCGGGTACAGAGCAGCAACAATGCTCCACAGAAAACAATATTCATCCTTATTCCGGATATTAATACACGCCTTTTTCTTTTTTATTGTAAGTGGTAAATCAACGTAAGTTGAACCCGACCCTCTAAGAGGATCGTACCTATTAATATTGACTTCCAGGGAAACATTGCTCAAAAAAGTCCAGCCGCTATCGCGGTCTTCGAATTCCTCAACTTTGTTTTTAATACTACCAACAAGTGTTTCAAATATCTTATCAAAGTCATAATTGCGAGTAACTAAAAAGTTTTTAATAACAAATGACTTGACTTCACTTTGCTCATTCTTAAATAAAAAGAAATTAGCGAAATATTCGAAATTAACTTTTAAACTTATATGCTTTTTCAATGAGAGTTTCAATAAGTTATCGATTTTAGAAAATATACTGTGCAAAAACATATCAGGCAAAGAGTGTACGTACTCATCTGTAGGAGTGATCCTGTAGGACACGATGCGACCCTGGAAAGCAGTTGCAAGTTCAACCACACCATCAAAGTCTTGCGCCTGCAACGCGTTGCACCGACCTTTGTGTGCGGCGCTGCGCAGGTGACCTACCCACCGCCTGCTATCTACTTGGATACAACACTCAGAGCAAAAAGGCATTTTAGTAGTTAGATTAGATTAATAACTTGTTAATAACTTTCTAGCTCTTTATAAAACTTACTTTTAGCTATCTAAAACTTTACTTAGGTACAAATACTTAGTCTAAAAGTTATTTTTAACTATCTTAGTTTTACTTATTATGTATCCTAACCTATCTAAATTTTACATGTAAAATCATAACCTGCCTGGGCACTCGAGGTCAATAAAGGAAAAAAACCTAAGTCAATATTATTTTAAACCTACTTTATTTATTTTATTATCATAAAATACAGGTTTAGTATCGCTAAACAGTGTTTTAGCTTTCTTCAGGAACCTCTGCAAGTAGTCCCACTCAGCCTGCTCCGAGTCCAGCTGCGCCTTGAGCGTGACGAGCGCCTTGGTGTAGCGCTGGTCCGGGGGCGCCTTGCGCGCGTCGTCCGCGCTGTAGACGCGCGTCTCCACGTAGTAGCGGCCGGCCAGCGGCGCGCGCCACACCAGCGAGCCGTGCGCGGTCTTGCTGCTGAAGCTGCTGTCGAGCCGCCTCGGCTCGTTGGATGCGCGCGTGGCCTTCTCTATGGCTTCCTCCTCGTCCGACAGAACTCCCAGCACGTCGAACGATTCCTTTGGATTCGACTTCGGCTTCTTTGAAGAATGGGATCTGTGATCGAGAAAGACATTATAAAATTAATACATAAATAATATTATAATTTTTTCGCAGTGAAGTTGTCGTATTCACTTTAATGGATACATGAAGTAACGTATTCATAATGGATACAGTTAAAGTTTAAAGTTATGATGTAACAATGATTACTTGCATACAATTACAACGCGACGAAACATTTTAGCTAATAATTACTATGAAACATGAAATACTTAGAAACAAAAACTGCAAAAATATTTTGTCTTACCTGTCTCGAGATGTTGGTTTTCGTTTAGGCTTGGCTCTCTGCACGGGTTCAGACGCTTCAAACTCGGAGTCAGACCTGAAAGATTAAAGTCAATGTTAAAGTCGGTTATCTCGCAACTTGTAAAGTAAGTAAATCTTGCACTTTAAACCCGTACTCGGTCATGATGCAGTTATCGAAATCGTCAATACGAAAATAACTAAGATTGATACAATAACAGCAAAAGAACTTCTGTCTTACCTAACGGTGTCTCGAGATGTTAGTTTTCTCTTCGGCTTGGCTTTCTGCACAGGCTCAAACACTTCAAACTCTGAATCAGACCTGAAACATTAAAGTTAGTTTTAAAATTCAATATTTCCTAACAAAATTCCTCACTTTTAAACTATAACCCAGTCTGTGATGTAAAAAATTAAATTAACATGATTTGGATGATGCTTAGTTAACTATGTACTAAAATAACGCATCTGCATCAAATCGAAACAAGTCACAGTTAAAAACAATCAAGATAAAAATGTACTCACATATTGAACACTCACAATTTACTGAAGATATGACGTCACTGGAGCTAGTTCCTTCTTCTGAAGCACTTCGAAATACAGAATGAAGCTCATACTGCGAGCCTCCAAATTTAAAGGGAAAATATTGATAATTCAGCAATAAAGTTAGGCTCATCACAAACGTTACATACGTATCTGCTTAACAACTCTCCTATGGAGTAGTGGCGTGCAGCAGGACTAATAGGTCAGAGGTTGCGTGTTCGATTCCCGCTCAATACAAATTTTTGTTAGTATGAACATAAATATTTTATAAAACATAATAGGTATTCGAAATTTATTGAAACATTATTCTCTCTTTCTGCAGTCGGTTTATACAGCTTGCGCATTGCGTTCACGCCAGGCCTAATGCTTATGCACACTCAGGTATTTACGAAAACTGGGACAATGATGCGAATGCCTGTATGAAAATAACCATGGTGAAGACGAATTAAATATTATACAAAATCATGATTTGATTTAAACTAAAACTTTATAAATACTGCATGATTTTGAAGGTTTAATTAACATTTTAAAATATTTGACGTTATTGTAGTTTAAAATTAAACTTGAAATGATAAAATCATCTTATCCTAAAATGTTGATTTAACTTATTATGTAAAAAATATACTAGACTTATTGAAATTATTACGCTTCGAAAATTAGTTTTACGTTAAAATTAGTTATGATTTGTTTTCATAATTAATTCAGATTGTTCATAATAATGATGCATACATACAATACATAGTTAATAAACTTTTACATAATTAATTAGTCAATCAATATAATGTTTTAGCAATGGTATGAAGGTTGGCTGGAAGAGATCGCTTTTTAGCGATAAGATGTACACCGTAACTATCTCCCTGCATCCTAGGTTTGACTTCTTTGCCTTATTATAACTTGTGTATGTTAAGTAGTTGTTGCTAGGTGGGAATAAAAAATCAGGTTTTTTATTCCTCATTAAAATAATTACCTATACCTATTAGTAAAGAGGCAAAGCCGTGGTATAATTGTTTACTCGTTAAAATATCATCGATTTAGCTACCGGATGTCGGACCATTTCAATAGAATCATACTTTAATAATGCAATTTAACAATTTACCTAATTCTTACATCACAGTGCAAGCTATAAAATCATATTATAAATAAATGAATTGTAATCATTTTTATAGCATGTTAGTATGGATTGTATTTATAGCAATCAAAGAGCTCAAGCATTATGAGAATGTGACGTCAATACAACAGCATTGCAACATTGCGCTTTATGTTACAGTTTGACACAGCAAAAATGGTATGTTAGTCGACGCTCTGATAATAGTGTAAGAGCCAAGGTTCATTGCAGGGACAGTAAACCAAACTAAGTTTTAAAATGTGTCACATCATTTTTAATTTAACGTAACCAATAGCTAATATTATATTAATAACCTTTTTTTATGTTTAAGTTAAGTCATGTCGTCACTAATTTATTCTCAAAAAGATGGACTATGATGAAAGTATTGATAAAAATATTTGATGAATTAATTGCTCGATAAAGATAATTCTTTAAGGGCAGATTTTTGAATCGTTAGTTTTAACTAAAGAATAGGACTCATTTTGAATTATTTCCCATATTGAAATTGTCAATACGCCAAACTTATTCTACAGTTAAAACTTATCCAACTATTGAAAAATCTGGTCTAAATTTATTAGTATTTATTATCTGTTAAATAAAACTTAAGCTTTGAGATGAAAATGGCTACCAGTCAACCTATGATGGATTAAATTGAAAGATTGCATACAGCTCCTTGACTATGACTTCATGTTACATGGAAGTTACGTTTGGTCCAAGTCATAAGAAATTAGGAAGATAATTATTATGCTTAATATTTTATTTAGTGATATTCTTAACTTATTTTTAGAACTATCATTCAACCTATGTTGAACTATATTGAATGTTTGCATACTGTTCTTTGACTATGATTTCAAGTTAGACCAATGTATGTTTGGTCCAAGTGACAAGAATATTAGAAAGATATACAAAGACAATCTTTTATTATTTTATTTTGTAGAATTAATAAGTTAAAGAGTTCCTTTTAGGAAAATCTAATCAATGTACAAGATAAATTAAGATAATATCATAAAGATGCTATAACTATTAATGTACAGCTGAAAATTAATTAAAAACCTGCATTCATACGTATCTACTATTAACATATTTAAAAATGTATAAATACTTGCAGTATTGCCTTATTACTCATTTGGTTTCGATGCTCGCTAATTTTAATCATCAAAATCGCTACAGTTTATGCGCTTGGACCGCAACACTGCTGAACATGCATATCCCGCCTTCAGTAGCCAGTTGTGTCAATTTGTGTGAAAGTGTTAGTAGTGTACANGCTCAGGTGAGCATACAACATGGCAGGTGACAGCGCTGGCGGAGCACCTGGCGCGCCTCAAGCCGCTGGGGCTGGCCGCGCTGCTCAACACGTGCGCGCCCGCGCCGCGCCACACCTACGCGCACTTCTGCGCGCACCTCACCTGCGAGGCGCAGCTCAGGTGAGCATACAACATGGCAGGTGACAGCGCTGGCGGAGCANCATACTTTAATAATGCAATTTAACAATTTACCTAATTCTTACATCACAGTGCAAGCTATAAAATCATATTATAAATAAATGAATTGTAATCATTTTTATAGCATGTTAGTATGGATTGTATTTATAGCAATCAAAGAGCTCAAGCATTATGAGAATGTGACGTCAATACAACAGCATTGCAACATTGCGCTTTATGTTACAGTTTGACACAGCAAAAATGGTATGTTAGTCGACGCTCTGATAATAGTGTAAGAGCCAAGGTTCATTGCAGGGACAGTAAACCAAACTAAGTTTTAAAATGTGTCACATCATTTTTAATTTAACGTAACCAATAGCTAATATTATATTAATAACCTTTTTTTATGTTTAAGTTAAGTCATGTCGTCACTAATTTATTCTCAAAAAGATGGACTATGATGAAAGTATTGATAAAAATATTTGATGAATTAATTGCTCGATAAAGATAATTCTTTAAGGGCAGATTTTTGAATCGTTAGTTTTAACTAAAGAATAGGACTCATTTTGAATTATTTCCCATATTGAAATTGTCAATACGCCAAACTTATTCTACAGTTAAAACTTATCCAACTATTGAAAAATCTGGTCTAAATTTATTAGTATTTATTATCTGTTAAATAAAACTTAAGCTTTGAGATGAAAATGGCTACCAGTCAACCTATGATGGATTAAATTGAAAGATTGCATACAGCTCCTTGACTATGACTTCATGTTACATGGAAGTTACGTTTGGTCCAAGTCATAAGAAATTAGGAAGATAATTATTATGCTTAATATTTTATTTAGTGATATTCTTAACTTATTTTTAGAACTATCATTCAACCTATGTTGAACTATATTGAATGTTTGCATACTGTTCTTTGACTATGATTTCAAGTTAGACCAATGTATGTTTGGTCCAAGTGACAAGAATATTAGAAAGATATACAAAGACAATCTTTTATTATTTTATTTTGTAGAATTAATAAGTTAAAGAGTTCCTTTTAGGAAAATCTAATCAATGTACAAGATAAATTAAGATAATATCATAAAGATGCTATAACTATTAATGTACAGCTGAAAATTAATTAAAAACCTGCATTCATACGTATCTACTATTAACATATTTAAAAATGTATAAATACTTGCAGTATTGCCTTATTACTCATTTGGTTTCGATGCTCGCTAATTTTAATCATCAAAATCGCTACAGTTTATGCGCTTGGACCGCAACACTGCTGAACATGCATATCCCGCCTTCAGTAGCCAGTTGTGTCAATTTGTGTGAAAGTGTTAGTAGTGTACATAGTGGGAGCCTAATTAATTCATAAGGAATATCTTTTAGGTTTTGTATTCTTGGATGTAACCTAACAGTAAGCTGCCATTGGTATAACATTTTACCTATGTTGGATGGAGAGACATGAGCCAAGCTGGTACAGAATATACATACATACTGTAATTCTGTGTGTTCTCTCGAGGCAATCGGCTCATCCACATGGTTGAACGGTTTACCCATGGTGCTACCGCTGTATAAGGGCATGCGTCATATTGGCCCATGAATACGAATCTTATAGAACTTATGAATTATTATTGACTCTCACTCAAGATATTATAGTGTGTAACTCAATCGGTTTATAATTCTCATATTTGAGGTTCTCGTATACATGGATGTAACCTAACAGTAAGCTGCTATTGGTATAACATTTTTACTCGTGTTGGATGGAGAGTCATGAGCCAAGCTGGTACAGAAAATTACATAAAAGTAAATTCTGTGTGTTCTCTCGAGGCAAGCTGCTCATCCGCATGGTTTTAAGGTTTACCTATGGTGCTACCGCTGTATAAGGGCATGCGTCAAACTGACCCATGTATACAGACTTCTAAAAAGGAATTGTGAATTCCAATTGGGTTTTATCGTGTGATCAAAAGTGCGTGGATTTAACGAAAAAAGCTCATGTTGTGCTAGTAGCCGTGTAAGGTAAGTCAAATTTTTAACATGGAATTAGGCTATTCTGCACTACTGCAGGCATGGTTTACCTACTTACGTTCGTGTTATTGGGCGATCTAACGCACAGAGTGAGGTCGCAAACTGCGACCGAACGAATGTGAGTTAGAACGCCCAATAACACACTACTAATGGGAGTAGAGACGCAGTTCGAGGTTGTATAGAATAACATACAAAAAGTAAGTCTGGTCTTTGATTGATTCACTTGTTTCATCCGCTAGGTTTATTTCTCTCGTTAAAATGTACAAGATCTTGCTTTTTACCAATTCTGAGATACATAGGTTCATTGATTTGGTACCTAAGCATTTTCTCAAAGTAGATATTTTCCATCGCCAGGTAGTTTGAAAGTGTATTTCATATTTGGCTGTGGAAAGGGACTTATAACTAGAGGATTAGTGAATTACGGTATTGTCAAAGCGTTGTCTTTTGTTTTTAAGATGCTTTAAGCAAAGTTTTAGTCAGGGCACCTCTTTTTTTGTATATTTTGTGGCAAATGTGTTTCAAAGTGTCCATCTACTATTTAGTACAATATTGAAGTAAAGTTGTATTGCTTTTGGAAACGTTTTATGGCGACCAGATAATTATTGACCTTTCTTGGGTATGCGCTTTGAAATTTTGTGGAATACACGTCTTTTATAGAATGTGTTTGGTGAAAGTTTTGTAGGGATCTTTCTTTGTTATCAACTATTATTTATACTCGTACTATAATGTCAGAGCCCCTGACTACAGACTTTTAACCAGCTGATAGTTTAGTCGGCTTACAATTTGTATGAGGAATCGGCCGATAGCAATTTTTTTTTTATTTATTCTCATAGAACCACAAACAGATTCACAATCAGAATTTATATAAAGAAGATAGTATAAAATAATGGACATTATTATTATGAATCCAACAGCGCTGGTCTCAGTTTACTTATCAACTAGTGTTAAGGTGGAGTTCGTCTTTTACATAATTTTTAACTAAGTATGCCTGTAAAATAACTTATACAAAGCAATATTTTGCACCTACATAATTTCAACAACCCAACCATGCATGTTGGTTGGTGATATGCAAGAGATACCACACACCTCAGATCATAGAAAGAGAATCCCTTCTATGATCTGAGCACACACCCGTCCGCCCTACGGTGATCGAAGTGAAACCTTGGGTTCAGAGGCATTTCTCGCGAGTGGGTGCATCTACAGGGTGCAATTCGGTGTAATGTGCGCACTTTCATACTTGACTATCGCTTAGGCTGGGTTGCATGCACCATCGTAATTTAACTATAATAAACGTAAAAAATCTGTCAAACTACATACAATAAACACCGGTTATTGTCAAAGTTAAGCTCAAAGTTAGGTGGTGCCACTCAGCCTTAGGCGTGTAAACGGATTAATTAACAGATAGAGTTTAATTAGAGTAGGCATAATGAATTAAAATCTATTATTAAGAACTTTTAGAAATACTTTTATTTGTACTAAGTAGTAACTCATTATTTAAGCGGTAGCAACGAAGTCTTATGTCAATAAAGTCAGTCTTATTTCTACAATAGTAATCTGATACTTATTTTTTTTTCTAAGTACTGAAATAAAAAACAATTAATTTAGGTAAGAGCCAAATAATTATTAAAACATAATTATTATTTATTCAGATAAAATAGAAGTGATTCACCTCTAATGTTATTTCGTAATTTTTCCTAAAAGGCTTGTATACAAGGTGTTAGGTAAATGGGTATGTGAGCCGACACTAGCCCATGTTAACATGGTCATATAAATGGTATGGTGAAGTCAGAAAATTGATATCTTAATTTAAATTATTTTAATTTTCATACAAATCGGATTTTATAAAAAATATTTTGTATGAAAATTAAAAAAATTAAAATGATATATGTATAAAATTTCTGACTTCACCATACCATTTATATTATTATGCCCATGTTAACATGGGCTAGTGTCGGCTCATATACCCATTTACCTAACACCCTGTATAAAGTACTGAGACATCCAGTTTTTTGCAGGATCCTGTTATTATTAATACGTGTTTTAATAATAACGTTCACATGAACATACCATTCGCAGTGTCCCGCAATAAACGGATCCGTTCGAATTTGTAAGTAATTCGAATTTTTAGCACACATACATATGTTTTGCAGTATCCTGCATCACCGGATCCCGCAAAGCTGGATTACCATGGGAACGAGCCTTTAGTTGGATGTACGACAGCACATCAACCTAAACCGGCGTCTTATCTTGTTGTATTACAGGCTATTTTGCAACAAAATTGTATAGGTTGATGTGCTGTCGACTGTACGAAGACAGCCTCTATACAACAGCATAATATCCTACAGTATTTAGCTTAATGTAGTTAGATATATTGTTTTAAACATCTCACCCGCAAGTTTCTTCAGTTACTCCGCGACCATGGCGCTTGCAACAGTGCAGAAATATCGGAAACTCAAAATTAAGGTACATGGTAGCAATCCCGTAAGATTTAATCCCATCAAAAACATTTTCATGTAAAATGTTGCTAAGACGAGACTATATTACTCGCACTGACAAAAAGTTATCAGATCTCATGTAGAGCCAGGCTTTTAACTCTACACGCCCTAACTCTATAAGGCCTAAATTCACAAACTCTACAACTTTTATGTGGCTTGGCTATTTCGCTATATTCTCAAATTATGTGGCTTTGCCATTTCGCTACATCAACATGAGCGTGAGGTGAAAATTTTATTGACTGTTCATTACTTTTCAGTTATACCTACAATAGTTCTTGTACCTATAATGAAACGGCTAAGCCACATGTTCGCTCGCTCTTTCATCTTGCTCTAGCTATATGCTTGCCAAAATGTGTTGTAGAGTTGCTATTTCGTTTAAGTGTGTTGTTAGTTAAGTCTGTTGTTGTTTACAATAAAGTCATTGGACATAATAATACTTACACATTATTACATCATGATTGTTACAACTAAAAAAAACGAGATCTAGTAAGTAGTTTTTTTAATACATTTTTTTAAATTTTAAAGTTACTACTACTTTCCTCATGAACGCGTAGAGGTATTAAATTTAAATTTATATCAAATATTCAGGTTTAAAGTCTCTTAAAAGCTGTAACAAAATCAAAGTTATATACCTACAGGTTCATACGGAATCCTCGGTGCGCGAGTCCGACTCGCACTTGGCCGGTTTTATTTTTAAGAAGAAGAAAAAAATATTTATTGTCAAAAACAAAAATATTTTATAATCTGGTAGTCTCTTATAGAGATTTGGCTATAAGATGTAGTTTTTTTGTCAAATACAAATATTTTTTCATTTCTGTTGGTCTCTTATTTCTCCGTGATGTGACTAGAACATTTACGGTGTGTGTTATTTTTAAACTATGACCACGCGGTTTGGCTATTTTCCTCATGGCCAAATTAGTTTGGCATTTTAGTTTGGCCACGAGGTAAAGGCGCTTTCCGACCATATTTGTGTGTGCACATGGTTGTAATATTATCTCCGCAATAAATTAATTAAAATTTAATTTCTCTTTATATCAAGTATCTGCCTACTGTTGTGCCTACAGACTGGAGTGTTGTTATCTAGTGTTGTTAGTGAACATCGTAGTTGAAGTACTGATATAAATATAAATAGGTAGGTATATCATTGTGGTTACTTGTAACTATTTGTTTAATATTACTTATTTCATCCATCCATACCATAGAAAAAACAAATTACTCTGTCCAAACTGTCCATACCATTCGATGTTAACAATAAATGGGTTCTAAAAAGACCACATAATTACTTACAAGATATAACTTATTCAGAGCACAAAATTTTGCCACAAATATAAACGCTGTGTGGATTGCAAATAATAATTATTACTATTAGACTATAAAATAACTTCATCATCATCATCATTTCAGCAACAGGACGTCCACTGCTGAATATAGGCCTCCTTCAATGATTTCCAATATCACCCGGTTGGTAGCTGCCTGCATCCAGCGCTTTCCTGCTACCTTTATGTCATCGGTCCACCTTGACGGTGGACGTCCCACGCTGCGTTTTCCAGTACGTGGCGTCCACTCCAGAACCTTGCTGCCCCATCGGCCGTCAGTCCTGCGTTCTATGACAACTATAAAATATTTTAGCTATCACATAATCCAGGAATGTCCCAAGTATCCCACCAGTCTCTAAAATTATGTACAATTGTTGTCTCTCCAATTTTTTCTTCATCGTTCATCAGGGCACACATTTGGCAGTAAGAGTTGCTGTCGGGATTTGGATCCTTATAGTTGTACGAATAATAGTTCTTCCATCTGAAGAAGTTGGCATACCGTTCTGGGTCTCTAATGATATCGGCCATCATCTGTGCCAGATTTGTCACGCCCAGCTCCCGAGCATTCAAGTAACTTCCGTCGGGCATGAACCTGGAAAATAAAACGTACGGTATGTAAAAAAATCCATATTATCTAAAGGCTGATTCTAGTGGGCAAAACATTCTTTTGTTTGGAAAAAATTGAAATAAATGTGCGTTTAATAATTTGTTTTTATTTTATTTACCTACTACCTTTTGCCGTGCACGTGAAATTTAGTTTGTCACAGGTCGTCATAAATTATCGCCTATATTATGTTTTTCTGGGTGATAAAAAATAATACTGTAAAGTTTCATCAAAATCCGTTCTGTAGATTTGCGTGAAAGTGTAACAACCAAACATCCATACAAACTTTCGCATTTAAATATTAGTAGGATTTCTTTAAAAAAAAAAGCAACATTTTAAATGGTTAACTTTTAACGTTCTACCAATTGACCCAGTAAGTTTTTTTTTTGCTAACGAAATAACGATTAACTATTATACCCATCTATGCAGACGACAAATTACAATGTTGCAAAATAATTAATACACGTATGGTTATGTTAATAGTCCGGTCAAATTACAATATTTCGCATATAGTTGATTAATTGGTACGAATGTTCGAAGCTCCATTAAAAGTCTCCATCGATCCGACATGTGCTAAAAAGAAATTCAAGGTCGGGCGCTACTGTCACAAATTATAATTAAGTAAAGTAGGTATGTAGAACGCCAAACCAGACGGTATTTACACGGTGCACACAGGTGAATTTTACGTAATTTATGGCCAAAATCGTCAAAAACAAAGTTCTTCTTTCTTTCTTTCTTTTCAGCCAAATGACGTCCACTGCTGGACAAAGGCCTCCCCCAAGGTTTTCCACAATGAACGGTCCTGCGCTGCCCGCATCCAGGCTCTTCCCGCGACCTTTACCAGATCGTCGGTCCACCTAGTCCACCAAAAACAAAGTTACTCCGATTCAAAAATAGGAATAACACATTTATTTTGCGGCCATCTAATAAAGTTATTTAAAACATTTGACACTTTTTGTTCAAACGTCCACACCACTCTATTGCTCATGGACAAAGTTACAATTTTGAACATTAATTGTTTAATCAACATCGTTTAAATTTTATTCAGTTAATGTTAGGTGTAAAACATAATGGAGTGTATACCTAAGTAGGTACCTATTATATTCCTGAATGATTAAAACGCTTCCATTACTTACGATTGTTTAGATAAAATAGTTTTGAATTCAAGGTTAAAATTTACTTTTTTTATGCAGTGCGAAATTTCAATCCGATTTTTCTATATTTGAAAAGAATATTTCTTTGACCTTCATAAGACACTAAATTTAGCTGCGTCTACTTGCGTCACATTAACAACATAGAGAAAGATAAAAAACTTAGAGAATTTGCATTATTTTAACTATTTCATGCGAATTGTTGTAACCTTGTCCTAATTTCACGGGACTATAATTTGTTCTAGTTGGACAAAGTCCCTTTTAAAGTGTTTCTAATCATTGTGATATCAATATCTTTATCGTTAATCCTAATCACGTGGAGTACTGATAATAACGTATTTATTAGAACATGAGATAACACGAATGAACAAAATCTATAGGTAGGTACTTATAAAGCTGAAGAGTTTGTTGGCTTAAACGTGCTAATGTCAAGAACTACTGGTCCAATTTAAAAAAAAATTGTGTTGGATATCGAGGAAAGCTTTAGGCTATACAGTGTGAGTCACGATAAAGTGCACACATGAAAATAGGTGAAACTAGACCTATTTTTATCGACAAAAAAAAAGTCAATTTTTTTTTAAGTTTTGTTTTAAATTTTAAATTTTTTATAGAATTTATTTTATCTTCCAATTACTTATTGTAAAGAAAACGTAATAAACTTTTAAACTAAGAGGTATCTATACTAATATTATAAAGCTGAAGTTATGGAATATGACGTTCAACCACCATAAGGANGGACGTCCACTGCTGAACATAGGCCTTTGTAAAATAATTAGACTAAATTATTAAAAGTGCCTACCCAAAGTCATTATTCCACGCGGACGAAGTCGCGGGCACAGCTAGTATCCTGATAAAATAAAAACAGTAATAATGCTAAATAACAGGCGATACTAAAAAAATACATAAAATACTCAGAAAATGGCAACACATAATAAAAAAATATACTTTTTACAAAAAATCTGCTTGAAAATTAGTATTGTTCCGATAAAAAAACTCAAAAAATTTTGACCTCTTTATTGTCGATAAAAATAGATCTAGTTTCATCTATTTTCATATGTGCACTTTATCGTGACTCACATTGTATATTGTATATCCCTACAGCTAATAGGGGCGGAGCAGTAAAGAAAAATGTTGCAAAAACAGGAAATATTATTCAAACTTATTTTCACGCGTATGAAGTCGCGGGCACAGCTAGTAAATAATAATTATAAATTAACCATCTTCCGGGTAATAACCTTGGACATTCCACAAACCATCCAGTAGGTACCAAATAGGGCATGTAATATCGGAAGGTTTTCAATTCCGATATTGGATTCCGATATTAGATCTCAATATCGGAATTCCGATATTAGTATCGGAATTGAGTTCATGTGCTATAAAATTAATATTTGGTTATATTCGTAAGAATTCTGGATTGTTTACAATAAAAGAAAGATTTTAACCAAAATCTTTAATTTGGTACAAAACAGCACTTCAAAATTGAAGTATTTTAAAACCATTTTTACGTTATGGGTATCCATTGCATTTGGTTTTTTATGTGACAAAAGGCAAACGAGCAGACGGATCACCTGATAATGAAGGGTTACTGATAATGAGCCTATATGGACTAGCAAATAATTAAAGTGTTTTTGTAAAATCACAGGTATCAAACAAACTTTTACTCCTTCATTATAATATTACCCTGTTTTATATTGGCGGAACGAATTTTAGAGTCATTCAAATCACGTGTTACAAAAATTGTAGAGAGTGGTAAAAAACTTGAATATGCTTGTAATTTGTTCCTTTGATTATCGATGTTCAACTCACAAAACCACTAGCCAGCCATATGTCAGCCATAAGACGTCCACTGCTGAACACAGGCTCCGATGCTGATTTTCACAATGGCCGGTTGATGGACGCCTGTATCCAGCGCCTTCCTGCTACCTTTATGAGGTCGTCGGTTCATTCACCTTGTGGTTATGAGTCCTACGCTGCGCTTTTCGGTACGTGGCCTACACTTCAGAACCTTGCTGCCTCATCGTCTGTCTGTTTTGCGTACTAAGGCAGAACCGTTGGAAGACCTTATCACAATGCTCGAAGACCGTAATCGAGTTTCCCAACAGGTAGGCCTTCGGATGAATATGGAAAAAACGAAGCTTATGTCGAATGTCCATGTTGCTCCTTACCCAGTTTCGGTTAGGACCTCGATTCTCGAGATTGTTGACAAGTAAGTATGTCTATCTCGGACAAACAATCAGCTAGGTAGTTAGATGCAATTTCGAGAAAGAGGTAAATCGTCGAATACGAAGACGAAAATCTTCAATCAGCATGTGTTACCAGTGATGATATACGGCTCGAAAACGTGGCCTTTGAATATAGGGCACAACGTGCTATGGAGAGGGATAAGCTTGGTGTTTCTTTACGATATCTAATCAGAAATGAGGAGCTCCGTAAACTAAGGTCGCTGACATAGCTCGACGGATTAGCAAGCTGAAGAGGCAATGGGCAGGACACATAGTACGCAGAACTGACGGTCCATAGTCCAGTAAAATTAATGTTTGAAAGGGAGTTGAGATGTCGTTCTTTGTTGACCAAGTACCTATGGCAAATGCTAAAATTGATTTAGAACAAGTTAAATTAACCATAAATAGTAAAGATATTAAAATATTTGCAGTGGAACAAAAAGTGATGGTGAGAGACATGAGAAAATCATTGGTCTTTGCCAATCATGTACTTTGGGCTTTGTGGCAGGTTGTGGCGAGTTTAAACGCTTTGTTTAAAACCTCAATCAAAAACTTTTGTCTTATTCCGATATTACGATATTGGGTCGCTCAATATCGGAATTGAAATATCGGATCTCGCAGTCCGAGATTCCGATATTACGAGATTCCGAGATTCCGATATTCATGCCCTAGTACCAAACAAAACAGAGCTTACACTATACTATGGGTACTACCTATGTAGATAACGAATATAAAACCTATATAATTATGTATATGTCGCAGGCAAATTGTATGATTCCGCATTTTACAAACGGCGTCGTCAATTTACAAACGGTCGCTGTTCTATGAAATGCCGAAGGCAAATTGGCAACTCGTTCAATTGATAAAATTTCGACTATGATTGTTGCAATAGGGTGACCATCATTAAACACATGTTGGACAAATCAGACATAATTTCAGAAATCAGGTAGGTATCTATTCAAGTAAGAAAAACCTAAAATACTTGCTACCCCTAAAGTAATTAAAATATTTTCGTAACAAAAACAACACTAGACTAATTTAAACTATTGACGTACCTATAGGTAGGTACATAAAAATATGACATTAAATAAGTTTCGATAGTCAGTCCTTTAGATAAGTCTTACTTTTAATTATACCAAGAAGAAGTCTAGAAGACATAACACAATATTTTTTATACCAATATATTCCACAGCAGTCCTCCGAGCACCAGATTCCATTGTCACCTTAGCGTGTTTTACGTGCCGGATAACCTCAAAACTATTTTATTTTTCCATAGCTTTTTCACTGCTCCTATTTGTGAATCGTATAATTTTCTTAATTCAGTAAGTATAGTAAAGGTCTTTTTTTGTGAAAAGTCCTTTGAATACGTAGAATTTGGACTGTTTTCTGTATCACAACACCACTATCCGACGCCATTTTTCTTGTTTTGATTAGCAGCGCCTCGCGTGGTGAGAAAAAGAACTAAATACTTCAATTTGCCGCGGCATTTTGTAAACAGCGATTGAATTGGCTATCAAATGTTTTGGCATATTATAAAGTGCCAAGGCAATTTACATTTTGCCTTCGGCATTTCATAGAACAGCGAGCGTTTGTGAATTGACGACGCCGTTTGTAAAATGCGGAATCATACAATTTGCCTGCGACATATACAGACCTACCAACTTTTAAAAAACACATACCTTGTATAATTGGCGAAACCATACACGATGGGTACCACATCATTATTTAGTGCAGTCAGCAATTTTTCTGTTACATAATCCTTATTAAATGAATTCTCAAACGACAAGTAAAAGAAGTATCTTTCGCCAACCATTTTATTGCACTCATCTCTCTTTGATCTAGGACAAGAATTTGATCCACAAGCTCCAATTATATCGAGCTCAAGATTATACTCTTTAAGTGTATCTTTCAGTTTTTCAGCAAATCTTAAGCGTCCAGATTTGTCGGCGCAATTGGAAACGAACCATACAGCCGCTTTCGTCTTGGACATCAACTTCTGCTTGAACCTCTCACTGACAGGGTCCATCTCTTCAGGCTTGATCCAGTGCATGTTCTTTTCGGGCCCGATAACATTATTTTTCGAATCCCATACCGTTATATACGACCACCGCAAAACAGAGTCCAGTCTAAACGTCCAAGTCCAATTGAAGTAATCGTCAAACCTTCTTGAACAGACTGGGTAGTAGTGTGATGATTCCATTGATGCAAAAACATACTTCTGGTGCGCTGACCTCTTCTGTGGCAGATCTTTGTTTTGCATACGCACGACTTCTGGTCCGTGAAATATTATAGCATCATATTCCTGCAGGTCAAGCAGGGATCTGTAGGCAGTAATCACACAGTTCGTGTAAGTACAGTTCCGTCGCTTAAAAACTTCTTGGCCGACTCCCATATAAACGAACGGATCAGTTGAGGGCGACGTCCATTGTAAAATGTACTTTAAATTTGTATCGTTGGATAAGATAAAATCACTTTTGATCAACCAGTAAGGTTCACTTTCGTTTAACGTCGAATACTTGTAAAAAATATGTATGAAAAGAACAATAGCACAGGTGCCGATTGCCCCGATGGCAATGGCTTTTTTAATGTGAACGCGCATTAGACTCATTTAACGCACTTGCTCAACGCTCAGAGGCCACGCGTGTTATGTTTTAGAGTCGGCCGACAACTAATGTGCTGAGCGGATTCCTTTTCCTCGTTGCGAGTAGATGATCGAATTTTTTTAGGGATGGGGTTTAGGTAACACTTGGTAATTTTTATATTATTTTATTTATTTGGTTCACCAATAAATTGACACCATTGATGATAGGTAAGTAAGTATTTATTGATAGACAAAAAATGCCTCGTCTCTACATGCCTTATTATAATACTAGCTTTCCGCCCGCGGCTTCGCCCGCGTGGAATTTTGTCTGTCAAAGAAAGACTTTATCGCGCGCGTCCCTGTTTCAAAAACCGGGATAAAAACTATCCTATGTCTTTTCCCGGGACTCAAACAAATGTCATCAAAATCGGTTCAGTGGTTTAGGCGTGAAAGCAAGACAGACAGACAGAGTTACTTTCGCATTTATAATATTAGTATATGTACTCGTATGTAGATTTGTGCAAAGGGCGACCAACAGAAACAAAAAGTATACTAAATTAAAGTTTAATACTAATTCTTCATTTCATAGTATGACAACAATCCTGAAATACGCGGGGATACGGAGATAGAGGTCGTTGAATATGCAAAGTTTCCATAGTATTTCACATCACATTAGGGTTATAAAAATAGTATTAGGTCAATTAGATTGCTTTTATCGATCATATTGAGAGTCTTACTATAGATTCTATCGATTTAGTAAGTATGTATACCGAATAAATAATAATCGATTATTCGATTGCAATAATCGATTGTATTGCTGAAAATAAAGAATTTAATTAACAATCAAATGATAGTAATGATGGTAATCAATAAAATCGATTAATCGAATTATTAATCGATAAATCGTTATTTGGCAATATCGAGTAATAATCGATCCGTGATCGATTATGCGACAACAATACAACTTAACTGGTAGATAGAAACCCATTGAAACATGACTGTGTTCATGTCATTTCTCTAAATGGTACCTAGGTATGGTCCTACGCTTATAATGTAGAACATGGTTTAAATATACCATTTGTTGGCCCCACTCCTGAACTGTTGGACATAATAATGGATAAATAACTTAATGTATTTAAAATGTAAGTAGATAAGTATATTAATTAATAATATTTTTTGTTTGCGCAATAAAGCACCTATTACTATTTTCACATTATGTCAATTTCCAAGCAAACCCGGGAGTTTTTGTTAGTTATTTATATGACAATATATTTCTGATATTAAGTCCTAACAAATAATAGTAGTTACATTTCTGTTGGTTTTACGCCCAGATTCCATAGAAAAGTGCCCATCATCCTTTGGTTGACCTTGTTGTTAGTTCAATGACCTACTGCGTTTTTCTAGCGTTTTTTATCTGTCTTTAAGAATACACCGGCTATCAACTTTGAAACGAACATTACGCCCAAATCAAACAGGATAAACAGGCGCCACCTACACCACCAAATTAAGAGACGGCGCCGCGGCGCCACGACGACCCTCATCCCTAGAACCCTCATCCCACCAGACAAAATGACGACATCGAGGGACATCAATCCTACTCAAATTCTATTGATTAATTTATTAGTAGGTATGTAAGTAGGTCCGTCCTATATACGCCTCAATATAAATTGTCGCGCAAAGAAATGGTAGAAGAAACTCTATCAAATTAAAAGTCAACTTTTTATTTATTATAGGGAACCATTCTCAGAACACAAATATTATTATGTAGGAAACAATTCTTATGTTATAGTTCTCACAACATTTTAGTACCTATGTTAGCGAAATTACTATGGAATTTTAAGGAGCGACAAAGCTCTTATGATCAAGTAGAGTCAAGTGCCTGGTGTGTTGAAGAGAGTAAAGTAAAACGAAGGTGACATAAATCTGCATGTCTCCTGACTTAGGCTGAGTTGCACCAAATTACTTTAACGGTAAGTTTAACAATAACCGGTGTTTTTTTTTTGAGTTTGACAGATTTTTGTCGTTATTTAAAGTAAGATGGTGCAACTCAGACTTAGTTGTGAACCCAAATAAGCGTAGTATTGATGGACTAATTGATTTACAAATACCTAATAATCACATAAATACTTAACAAAAGATCCCTAAAGATTTTTATTATAATCATTATCAACTTAAGATTGTGTAATAATATCAAAAGACATTAATAAATACCTCACATTAGGTTAGCTGACGCCACCGATCAATTAAATTATTGATATACTTTTTTAAACTGTCAAAACGTGATTTTACCACAGATTTCGCGTGGCAATGCACAAACTGTGACGTCACTTGTTTACCAATTTGGGATTTGGGGAACAACTTATTTAATTTGAAGCAACTAAAAATCTAGCTTTGAAAATGTAATTTGGTTTTCAGGACTAGAAATGTAGTATTATTTTAGAAAAACAGTAAATGGTGCCGACTACCTAATTGAAAGTTATGTTATAAGCTTCAACCACACCAACGCGTGCAGATCGCCATCGCCGGCGCGATCATAGGCCTATGACAGGTCGCGCGACCCACGAACAGTCCGCGCGACCCACGAACAATCCGCGCGACCCACGAACAGTCCGCGCGACTTGTCATTGGCCTATGATCACGCCGTGATCGCGCTGGCAATAGCTCGTTACACCGTACTCGCCGGCGAGTACGAGGCCCTGCTTTCCATTTCGGACGGTACAGACATGTACCGGGCCGGTTCTCCCCTATCCGTCCCCCGGACACGGCCTGAGCCGAGGTCCGAGCCTACCGTGGCGCCCTCAGGCCGCGTCCGTAGTCCCCTCGATCGGGCCCATTAGAGTGAGCCCGCCGTAGGCTGGACTTTGGTCCAACACCGCGGTGGGCAACCCTCTAGTTGGGTTCGCCACTGATCGGGCGCCTTATGCGCTCGATACGGCCCGATCGCGAACGTCGGTCTGCGACCGGCCGACCCACACTCGGCCTCGTCGGCACGCGCACCGACGATCGCCAAACGGCTAGAGTACCTTCTGTACTCGCCACTCTGCCCGGTGAAGCTGGAAAAGCTCCTCAAGCTACCAGCGCGCGTCCCTTCAAAAAAAAAAAAAAAAAAAAAAAAAAAAAAAAAAAAAAAAAAGCGCTGGCAATGGCGATCTGCACGCGTTGGTGTGGTTGAAGCAATACTTAAAACAAAGATCTATTGCACATGTTAGGGCTGTCCCACCAGTCTTTAAAATTACTTATAATGCTAGTCTTCTTCAACTTTTCTTCATTATTTAACAGCTCGCACATCTTACAATACTCATTCGTTTCTGGAATCTCATGCTTGCTGTGGTAGGAGTAGTGGTTCTTCCACCTGAAGAAGTTGGCGTACTGTTCCGGGTTCTTGATGATTTCAGCCATCTTTGCTGCAAGAGCTGTCACGCCCAGCTCTTTAGCATTCAGGTAGATCCCGTAGGGCATGAATCTGTTGGAAAAAATCACAATAAATCCTAGTTCATCCGACGACCTCATAAAGGTTGCAGGAAGGATGCAGGCCGCTACAAACCTGGCGATGTGGGAATCATTGGGGGAGGCCTATGTACAGCAGTGGACGTCCTGTGGCTGAAATGATGATGATGAAATCCTAGTTCTGACACAACTCACTACAACATGAGTGCGTTTCAGCCAAATGACGTCCACTATACCTAGACAAATGCCTCCCCCTAGAATCTCCACAACAACCGCTCCTACGCTTCCCGTATCCAGGTACTTCCCGCAACCCTCGCCAGATCGTCGGTCCATATAGTCACAAGTGTGAGAGTGATAGACATAAAAGCGGTAAAATGTTTAATAACACATTCTTATTGAAATATTATTATGTAAACACAACACAACTGACAGAAGTAAAAAATAGAGTTAGGATTTTCTGAAAAAATCGATGTAAAAGCTTTTTCTTATAATACGATGTTATGCCTGTTGTCAAAATAAGGTTAGTAGGCTGTAAACATTTGATTTGTTTATAATGAATACGCCTAAAAAGTATTTACGAGCAATCTCTCACAAACGGCATACGTTTCCGAAAAATTGTTTTCAGCGGTCGTTTCTTTCGGTAAGAAGATAATTCGTTCAGGCGCTCTTATGGAAAACTTCACGATCGACAGGTCGTGGTACGTAGCTAGTTCTAGTTACATCAATTAGGTTCATGACGCCTTTAGAGACACATGAAGAAGAGCTGTAGAGAAGCGCCACTACCATGACAAACGCGTCGCATATAAAAACTAGTAGTGGCACACAATAACGCTACAGCCACTACAACGTTTCCCCACGCCTCCAATTTGATGCCATCAAATTGATGGCACCCTTAGTTCTGGATGGAATAATATGCAATAAAAGGTAAATTCTGCACATCACTACAGACATAGACAGCACATAGGGTAAGTGCGCTAGTTTTCGTCCAATTATCGGAGTTGCCAACTTTGTGATGCGAAATTAATATCTTAAAATACCCTTACTCATATGTATCATATGTCATTTTAGTCCTTATATAGTCTACTTTACGTTAATATTATATGACAATAAGTAAATACCACGGGTTTTTTTATAAAAAATATTTTATGCAAAAGAGGCGATTTCACTAGTTTTCGTCCAAAAAAATCAGTTTTCGTCCTAGTGTACGCTAGTTTTCGACCACTGTGTAGAAAAAAGGGTGCAGTTGAATTATTAACTTAAAACCAATTCTACAATACAGTAACTATGGATTGTGGTATATCATTTGAAAGGTAATTTTGTTAGCTTTCAAATGATATCAAAAAGATTTAAATAAGTTTCTTACCTAAATTTAGGAAAATATTGCAATAGGTCGAAGGACAAATGGACGAAAACTAATCTACAGGAATAGCTAATTTTGGTTTTCGTCCACCCCAGTGCTTGCTCATGACGTCATGGACGAAAACACAACAACGTTTAAAGCTGTTTTTTGTTTTCGTCCACATCTTTTTAACGGTTTTTATGGGTTTATCACTGTTAAAAAGTGGACGTAAACTAAAATGTTTAATGTAATAGCAATAAAGATCATAATATTGGAAGAAAAAACATTGTGTTTTGTAGGTCCATTAAAGTAAAATGATTATTAAAAATATTAACTAGGTGTCAGGGTTTCCGTCCACGTGGACGAAAACCAAAATCTTGCAAAATTATTATGCTAATATTAGTCCACTTAATTATCTAAGATTTCTATACAAATACTTTAATAAACCCTTAAAATAGTGTTTGTTATGCTAATAATTAGACATACGTGCCAAAAACATTACGTAAAGTAGCTAAAACAGTAATTAAACATACCATGTAAGTTCCCTACCGGCACGTTTTTTTTTCTAACTTGACGACGTTTTCCATTCACCTGTGTGCAGCAGCAACTTCCGTAGATTTTTTTGGAATTATTACTTGTCAAATTACATTTTCATGCAGGCAGAACTGTTACTTAGATATTATAGATTGTAACAAGTCCAAACTTGCACGGAAAGTTAGGTTTGTATTCTAATTTTCCGTATTTGTTTGTGGCAAGTCGGTCAAATGGACGAAAACAGGAGCTGGACGGAAAACCGGCGCAATTACCCTACTTAGACAATTTAGTGTCAATTTGAGTCTCACATACCTATTATACTAAAACGTTTATTTTATTTGTATAGAGAACAATAGTGTCTGGAAAAACCTCAAGAGGATTTAAGACACTATTTAAATTAAAGATGTAACGGCTAAATATAATATTATGTAATAATAAATAAATAATTTAATTTTGCAAGATTGCTACACTGTAGACTTTAGTTGTATCACACTTACAACTCTATACTACTTTGCATAATACATTATAGAGTGCCCACTGCCCAGTCTCGTTAACGCGCATTACAAATATTAAGCAAGTAAGTTGATAGTCCGTTTACAGAGTAACAGTATATAGCACCATTTTAACGGTACCAATTAGCACAAGCTCCCAAATCTACTTGAGTTCAGTTCACTTGAGTTGTGGTTTCCAGTAGAGATTTTATTCAGGAAAAATTTTGTACCATTCGTGGCAGTTTTAGAATATCCTCAGAAGCTGGTGAAACCTGGTCACTTACTGTAGATGTTCCATTAAATATTATTATTTATTCAAAAAGGTTGAAATTAATTACTTAGAACAAAAACTTTCAAACGAAGAAGGTACCTACTTAAAAACAAATACCATTAGTATTAGATGATGGTATTAGATCGTTGTTAGTACTATACTAAGACTGCTTAGTGCTTAAGAATATACCTACCATGTTTTTACCTACTAACATTGAATTATGTTTATCAAATATTAAATGTGGTTTATGTAGCTTCGTTTTCTATTAAAATTTCTATTTTATCCTCAACAAGGTTACACCAAAAATATAATATTATTTTGTTTAAATAATACGGTTTGCTTCCAAACTCAATTATTACGTGACAATTGTGACTCTGTTGTTGTCAATCACATGAGTCATGATTACTGAAATAAAAATTATCGATGCACTGAAAGCTGAAATTCCATAATGAGCTGCAGTTTCATTGTTGTACTAACCAATAAATGTTGGAAGTTGAACGCATAATTTCATCTGTGATTATAACTTCATAAACCTACGCAACATTATTGCTTGTAGTTTTTTCCGTTAAGACGTTTTTATTTTTTACGCGAATAGTTTGGTTGCACTCGTTCTAGTATATTTATAGATTTCAATCCACATCTGCTTCAAATTCCAATGTGTTAAGCTTCCGTCACTCTCAATTTTAACGGTATTGTTCACAATTCACTTTATGTGGTCATTGTTAGTGCTAAAACCCCATAACATGACCCCATTACATAACTACAATAAAGTAATTTGTGCCTAAAAACAATGGTTGTTTTGTAATTGATGATTATTTGACGTGGTCAACAAGAACTCCGTTGGAATGTTGGAAAGCCTTTCGCAGGTTCGATTCCAGCACAAAATTACTGTGTTTACACTGATCTGGGTATTTTCCGTGTTTTTATTCATTTGTCTTTAACAAAAACAGAAAAATATTGAGTCATCATCGTCAGTCTTCGATCGTATGAATTCTGCTTTTTCATGGATTTCTGTCCATTTCTTTCAAGATATTAAATATAATATAAATATATTTCCTAAAGTTCGTAGAAAGTGATAAGTAATCTAGGCGTGAAAACGTAACAGGCAGACAGACAGAGTAATTTTTGCATTTATAATTTAAAAGACTGCATAGCATAAAATTCGTATATTTATCAAATACCTTGTATAATTAGCTCCACCGTAGACTATAGGCACAACATTGTTTTGTAGTGCCATTAGTAACTTCTCTGTAGCATAGTCTTCACTAAACGAATTCTCGAAAGATAAGTAGAAATAGTACGTTTCATCAAGCATTTTAAGACATTTCTCATGTTCTGATGGTGGGCACGACAGTTGTCCACATTTTCCGTATATATCAAGCATAAGATTGTACGATTTCAGTTTATATTTCAGTTTTTCAGCAAATTCGAAGCGGCCAGATCTGTCGAAGCAATTCGAAACAAACCACGCTGCTGCTTTCTTCTTAGTCTTCAACTTCTGTTTAAACTCCTCACTCACAGGACTCATATCTTCCAATTTCATCCAATGCATAATTTTGTTTGGACCAATTATATTGTTCTCCGCATCTTTTACAAGCATGTAACCCCATCGCACGTCAGAGTCCAGTCTGAAAGTCCACGTCCAATTGAAAAACCCGTCGAATCTATTTGAACAAACTGGGTAGTAGCCAGATGATTCTATTGACGCAAAAACGTACTTTTGGTGATGCGCTCTGCTTTGAGGCAAATAAAAACTCGGAAGCGTTACGACTTCTGGCCCGGCAAATACGATTACGTCGAATTTAGTCACATCGCCGAGGTATTTTCTGTCTCCTGTGACGAAACAGTTTTTGTAAGAACAGTTCCTGCTTATGAATCCTTCTTGACCGACACCCATGCTGTTGAAAGGCACGTTCCGAGGCGAAGTCCATTGCAGTATATACTTTAACACAGTTCTATTTTCAGAGTTTGAATCTTTTATATTATTGACAGACGCTATAACGGTGTCGTTGTACTTTGTTAGGGATATTTTGGTGAAATCTGTGAGTGAATATAACACGAAAACTAACACGGCCACGTTTGAAACACAGAAAAGTGTTTTTCCCAGTAACGGCGCGCGCATTTTTAATGCGTTTTATATCGGGACGCATAAACGTGCATGAGTATGCGCGGGCGGTCCATCACTAAAAAATAACTGTTTCACGTATGGACGCCACAAAATATATTATCCGTAAGCGACGTTTGTAAAGTAATCGTGTGAAATAGTGTCTAATAAAAAGTAGGTACCTATTTACATTCTGTGAAACGAGCTAAATCCCGATAAGTACCTACTACTAATTATGCTTATTAAAAGTCATCGGGTTCACTTTGGATTACATACTTAATCTTCTTTTCATAATAAAATTCTTTATTTAGACAAAACATAGTACCTATACAGCTACATTATTTTAAAAAACACCAGTATAACTTACATTTTAAATGCGATAACACTTCACGGCCAAAAACACCTCTCAAAGCTTTACTTTGGATTGCATCATAAAATCATTAGACGTACCTACTTTATTTCATTTTCCTTAACCACCAATATACATAATGTAGGTACACAATTTTTGTTTTTACCTTTGCACGTCACATGTTTATTTTTATGATAATCAAGGATACCTTGAATATGTCAGACTACATTATGATTAAAAATATTATGCATCTGAAAGGGCTCCCTCGTGTTTATTGCGGTCTGATGCAAAGACTACTCAACTTATTTTGGGGCATGGCAGAATAGAGTCATCAGCAGCCCCCTTGTCATCAAGTAGTGTAACTTGTAAGTTAAGTGCAAACCAAATGAGCCTTAATTTACTTTAAGTTTAAGAAGCAATTTGCTTTCTGACTTCTACATTTAAACCTCATCATAAAGGGTTAAGTAATAGACTCAATAAATGATCCAAACGTGGATCATCTCTACTAAATTATACTCGTGGTAGGCATTATCATCTGAATTGCATACTCCTTAAAACTTTAATCTATCATAACATCATAATTAACTAGAAGATAGGACTTCTTGGCGGGAATCTGAAGCGTCAATACTCAATACTCAATTCTTTATTGCATCCATAATGTTACAGAGGTGGTCATGTTAGCGGTTTTGTTTTATTTCCTCAAATTCGTGTGTGGGCGACTATTAATGTGTGATAATGGTGGATTGTTAACCATTGAGTGTTCGTGAACGTGCATGAGTGTGGGCAAGGGAAGCAAAACAGTGCATCGTGATTCTTCTGGTTCTCTCAAGTTGTTCATAGGAGGTCTCAGTAAAGCACCACAACTTTACTGAGACTCAAAGGGTGGGAAGGGGTATCATCTATCATCCTTCATTATATCATTACTTGATCTCATTTTCTAACTCGAATCACTTATACTTGAAAATGGCACAAATCAAGTCGACCTCGACGTGTATTGCCAACATCGTCAAAAAAGAAGAACTAGAAGATAAACAAATGAAAAGCGTGACGTAAGCAAAGCTCACAAAGCGTTCAATTTTCGAAATTCAAACAGAAACAAAAGAAAGATAGAAAACAAAAGGCAACGTTCCACATGGTAATCCTCGTTCGTAACGAAGATGGCTTTGATGCTGTCACTCTTTATTGTGGTCTGATAGACCCACCGAAGGTCAAGCCCGGCCACTCGTGTGTGCGCCGACAAGCGGATTATTTGGGACACAGGCAGCTGGGCAGCGGCAAAGAAAATATAAGCTACTAGTGATGTGACGGTCAAGAGCTACGGATTCGATTTATACCTTGGAATACAAGGCTGGATTACACCATCTTACTTTACCTTTAACAAACGTCAAAAATCTGTCAAACTCCATACAAATCACCGGTTATCGTTATAGTTACCGTTAAAGTTAGGTGGTGCAACTCAACCTAAGAGTGCGATAAGTTCTTTAATCTTTATTGCACACAAAAATTTCGATACAAAAGGCGAACTAAATTTCGTGAGGCGTTCTCTACCAGTTAACCTTTAGGTCAAACAGAGAGTCATATCATACTCTTCGTTTCTTTTTTGATGACTGTGAATCTTTGAGATGCCAACCAACTTGCGATTCCTGATGTGCATAGGTACAAGCTTTTCTTCAACGAATTAGATCGTGTTCCAGATACGGGATATATCCCTCGATCAAATTGGACAAGCACATTATGCTAAGCTAGAACATCATCAACTTCATTCAATAAGGTGAATTGGGTTTGGTTTTGTAAATCCCTCTTAACTATTCACGTCTCTAATTTTATAGTTTTTACTGTAAATAATTTCAATAAAATGTTCTATCAATAAAATCATTATTCGGATATTATGTTCTAACAAAATATCCGTTACAGCCCAACCAGTTTTAGAGAACGCAGTAATTAAAAGGGTTTGGGATTGGATTACTTAATCATACTTACCACAGTTGGAATTTGTATATTTAATGGTGAAAAGAGTAAAATGTGAGGTTATCTCATTATCCCTAATTTATCTCTAATTAATTCAATGTTTTAGTCATTAATTACTTGGTCACGACGTTTGAGAGGTTATTTTGTATTTTAAAAGACGAAAATTTGGATTACTTTGTTTGAACAAAACTTACCTTAGAAACTAAGGCTGAGTTGGACCACCTTATTTTAACTGTGACTATAACCGTAACCGGTTTTTTTTTTTGTGAAGCTTCTTGGCAGACTTTTGACGTTTATTAAAGTTGAAGTAAAATGGTGCAACCCAGCCGAAGGACATCAGGAGGCACACAACTCCAGTATAGGCCAAGGATGCGTATGCATGGTACAATTACTTTTATCGAGGCCTTTTGTCGATTTTGCTCGATAAACCCACACATTTGTCGTCTAAAATCGTCGATAAGATTTTATCATGGCGCGTATCCTAGCCCGGCAGGAGTATGAAGCCGCTGACAAAAGATAGTTAGGAAAAATCAATTAATATACATTTTTATGCGAATTTTTGATACGTCTGGATTACTGTTATTATTCATCTCATTATCGCTGCTTTGCATAATTTTATTTATCTCATCCGTTACTCTTCCATCCGTGACATTATTATGACCTTATGCTTTTAGTTTGTATTACATATTACGAGAGTGAATAGGCACTTACAGGGCAGATATGTACCATCCTAGACTGCATCTCACTTAAGGCGCTACCTTGTAAAATTTGTTTTCAACAAGCTCCGCCCATTCCCCCCGCAGGCTCCGCACCCGCGAAAGCGTCACTCGTCGCGACGCGTCGCTCGCTTCGTAAAATCAGAGTAAAATTTGAAATTGAATGAAAACGAACATGGAAACAATGGAGTCGCGTCACACATTTCTTTTTTTTATTTAATTAGTTGATGTACATTATTATTGGTCCATATTATAGATTTGCGTTAAATATTATGATGCAGTCAAAACTCATAATCGGTCAAATCAACTTTTGACTGCAAAAATTTGTAAAAATTGCTTTCACTTGATTTCAAATTTTACCATTTAGTCAAAATTCATACAAAGTAATAATAGGAAATCATCATTAAAGTATTATAAATAATTTTATTTATTCATCTTCCAGATACCATTTAAGTTAGTAACAATGTTATAAAACATTTTTTAAAGCGTAAAGTTTATGTGATTTGTGCATAGGTAGGTACAAAATGATGACACCTGATGTACTATTAGTTTAGAAGTTATCGTTAATTTGTGATTACAGAAAAAAACAGGGAATATGAAAATGAAAGAGCTTCCGCATTGTGAATAAAAAAATGTTCTTTTCAGTTATTGTCTCTAAATGTGTTCTACATAACGTAAACTTAGGGGATTGCAATCATTAGTTAGTTCTAAAAAAGTCAAAAACATGACGTATCCGAATCTCCGACTTCGCACTATAGTGGAGCGATTACAGAAAATAGTGGCCTATTAAGTACATGGTTTTTTGTGTTATTATGAAAGTTCAGAAAACTGCGCAGTTTTTAAAATTATTTTGGTCCTATGGAATGTATTTTCTTTCTCAAACTTTTAAGTTGAAAATTTTAGAATGTTCTGCTAAAAGCATATTTTTTATGTTTCTAGCAGAACATCTGCAATTAATCAATCAAGTCGACCCAAAAAAAGATATGTTTTTTAAAGCCTACTAGGTCATAAAATTTGAAAAAACCAGCCAAGTGCGTGTCGGACTCACGCACAAAGGGTTCCGTACTATTAATTTATGAAATTAAAATTATTATTTAATTTAAGTTATTTGTATGAAAAATACCGAAGACGGTACCTAATAAGCGGTTTACGATTTACGAGATATTAAAAAAAAATACTAGATCAAGTTCAAAACAATTTTAGTTGGTAGTTTTTATAGTAATGTATTTATTTATTTAAACTGTGATGCCAATATAAATTTGTACATAAGGCGAACTTAATGCACTAAAGCATTCTCGACCAGTTTACCCTTCAGTTTAATGTACCTACTTCATATGTTTTTTTTTCACATAGTACGCAGAACTGACGGTCCATAGTCCAGTAAAATTAATGTTTGAAAGGGAGTTGAGATGTCGTTCTTTGTTGACCAAGTACCTATGGCAAATGCTAAAATTGATTTAGAACAAGTTAAATTAACCATAAATAGTAAAGATATTAAAATATTTGCAGTGGAACAAAAAGTGATGGTGAGAGACATGAGAAAATCATTGGTCTTTGCCAATCATGTACTTTGGGCTTTGTGGCAGGTTGTGGCGAGTTTAAACGCTTTGTTTAAAACCTCAATCAAAAACTTTTGTCTTATTCCGATATTACGATATTGGGTCGCTCAATATCGGAATTGAAATATCGGATCTCGCAGTCCGAGATTCCGATATTACGAGATTCCGAGATTCCGATATTCATGCCCTAGTACCAAACAAAACAGAGCTTACACTATACTATGGGTACTACCTATGTAGATAACGAATATAAAACCTATATAATTATGTATATGTCGCAGGCAAATTGTATGATTCCGCATTTTACAAACGGCGTCGTCAATTTACAAACGGTCGCTGTTCTATGAAATGCCGAAGGCAAATTGGCAACTCGTTCAATTGATAAAATTTCGACTATGATTGTTGCAATAGGGTGACCATCATTAAACANGCATCACCTTAACACCAGGTGCGATTGCGGTCAAATACCTGCCTT